GCTTCCTGCAGGGAGGATCAGGGCTGGCTTCCACCTTCTTGTTCAACACATCTCCTCCTGGCTTTGCAGGCACTGGCTGGAAGTTGGCATCTTGAGCCGTTCCCTGCTTCCGACACACTGTTTGTGCCAGGGTCTCACAGGCAGAATGAGATGAATGCTGTCCCAAACTCTGACCCATACTGTGAGATGGAGAGGCCTTGCAGAAGTCCAACCTCCTGCTCCACAGGGGCTCCTGAGGAGGATCACCCTTGGCAGGGGTCTGTCTTGGTTCTGGTCCATGAGAGGCTGCAGGGCGACTCTCTGGCCAGCCACCCTCTTTGGGAGGTTCTTTCCTGTTCTGTTGGAACTTTGCTCGAAGGTGCTTCACCACGGCGTCTCTCCCCTCCAGATGCATCTGCAACCATTAAGAAAAACAGTTCCAGTTAAAATACCATGGAGGAAAATAAGTCAAAATTCCCCCTAGAATTTTGGTATTCCTTCAACATGGTCTCACACTAAATCTTCTCCATGAAACCAGGTCTTTGCTCAAAAAGGTCCTGAAACATTTCTGAGAAAACAACATGGGGCTGCACCAAATGGGACCAGGCTGCCCCACCACAGGGGCACCCAGGAGACCTTTCATGGAGTCTTTTGGTCTGATCCACCCTCTGTCCACTACCAGGGACCATCAAATCAGAGGGATTGGGTGGTAGTAGCAAAGCTCCTGAGGGCAGAATCTGAGATCCAGAGATTTCCCAGGGCTCAGATGGGAGCAACCTGCCTTACCCTGGTCCTGTTTCCCATGATGAGTTGGTGGGGGAGACCATGTAGGGCCATTGGATCCCTCCCTGGAGGAAAAGCTGAGATGGCACTGCTAAGACTCATCCTACCATAGCCTGAGTGCAGAAAACAGAAGGCCAAGAGGCAGCAGACTGCCCTACTTTTCTGACATGTGTGTTTCCTGTGTGGTTCACACTGTGCACACATGAATTGGGACACATCTGCTCCAGCACAGAGTTGCCCTTAGCTTCCTTAGTGACCAAAATTCACCTCTTTCTAGAGTCTCCAGAGAAAAGCTGCCAGGAGAAGGCTGTGAATGGCTCTTGGAAGAAGACTGCCAGCTTGTAGGTATGGCACAAAGCTACAGGACGGGGCTACATTTTTCCTAAGTTTCTCAGGTGGACTTTGTGAGAGGAAGGGATCAGCTTACCCTCCCCATCTTTCTCCCACACCCTTGTCCCCAGACTACAGCATCCCTTGGCACCAGAGCTGGCTGCTTTGCTGGAGCTGTATGCTTTGACTTTGGAGCTCTTCTCCTTCTGGGATTTCAGTTTTGGTTTATGATTGCATAATTTTTATTCTCACAAGGGAAGGGCTGATACAAGGGAGAGAAGCTGATACAATGTTTTTAGACATAACTGATCAAATGTATATATACAGACTTACAAAAGTGCAAGCTCCCCAGGCAAACACCCCAATTTTCCTGGTAAACCCTCAAATGCAGCACTTGGCACAGCAGCGCTGAAGCAGCATAAATTTGCCACTTCCTGTATACCGGCAGTGGGGCTTTCACTCCAATTTGTGAAAAAAGCAATGCTTTCCAGATTCCCAAACATGCCATTGGGATTTTTGACACCTGTAAGATTTGGTGGTTTGTAATGATCAGTGTTGGGCTAGTTCCATGAGCTGAGACTTGCTCAGAGTCCTTGGATATACAGCACTGCCATCACTGTGATTAGTTCCAGGTTTTCCAATTCATTTCTGTGCTGGTGGGGGCTCTTCTGGTCTCGATGGGAGTGTGGCCTCCTCCTTTCATAGACATTTATATTCAGCCCAAGTTCACCCAGCAAACCTTCCTCTGAGCCCAGAAACTGGTCAGAGACCTTTGAAACTCTGTCCAGCTCAGATGTACAGGAAGATTTTGACTTTCAGGAGGAGTGACGGTGTTGGCCAGATCCAACCCCTCACAAGGACATCCCCAAAACCCTTCCAACCAGGACATATGGCTCCCAGCGTCCCGTACCCATGTCCACTACAGCCCAGGTCTGGTTCTTACTCACCATCTTCCATTAGTGGATGCTTTCCTGTGTGCTCACCTCCTTGTTAAAGACCACCCCAAGCGTTCCGGACAAGTCTCTCTGAGGCTCCCTCCCTTGAAACCAGAAGCTCTTTCCTAAAGGCTGGTGAGGAACTCTGTGCAACACCAGGAAGCTGCTTTTGCCTGATGGTGAGACTGCACAAGGAGGAGGAGAAAGAGGAGGAGCAGCTCTCAATACACCAGCAGTTTGGCTTTGCTGCTGTTTGACGCTTGCAGCCCTCCAAGTCCTGCTGGGCATAAGGGTTGTGTCCAAAGGAGAGCCCCAGTTTTGGGAACTGACTGCAGGATGACAGGGGGTGGAACCAGGAGGGTGGGAAATGTCCTTGTCCAGTGGTGGCCCAGGATTCCTCTGCCAGGTCTCAAAGCTGCATGTCACTTGCAGATGGGAGGGTGCAGAGGGTGCACAGCTGAACTCTGTGGGAGCACAGAAAAGCTGGGTGAGGGCTATGGCTTCCTGGAGTATCCAAAACTGCAGGACATGAGCTCCACTGAAGAGCCTAGTTTCTCTGGGAAGCAAGGGGAAGCTCTGCAGAGCAGGGTGCTGTGTCAGGCCATCGCAGTATCTAACTGTCCTGATGTCACTGTTTACTGCCTCTGAATGGTCTGACAGGTCGAGTCAAGAGGTGCTCTGGTCAGCTGGTTGGTGCTGGTGTCCCTGCTCCAAGACTGGCGTGGCCCTGCAGCCCTTTGGGAAGGTGTCCCACCAGCAGTGCCCGAGGCGGCTCCTGCCTGTAGATGGCTTAAGGATAAGAGTTTGAGGACATGGGGAAGGCTGGCCATGGGCAACAAGCTGGCACCCGTTGGCCAAGGGAGGCGGTCCTGTGGGTTCTGTGGAAGGTGGTGGGTGCTCAAGGGGGGCACTGGAGGACTTGATCCCACCAGCTGGAGATGGGATGGAGAGGTTGTGCTGCGAGGTCCCACACTGGACCCACGGGGAGCTGACTCTGGGGCACAGGAGGGGAAGACAGCAGTGACAGCCACCTCTCACCTGCCCCACTGCCCCTGCCCCTGCAACAGGGAGGGCATGTCGCTATCTGTGGGGAGAGGGAGGCCCGGGAGCCGTGCTGGGGCACGGGGCTGGCACGGAGGCACTGAGGGCCATCTTTGGGGAGGACGGGGGATGTGTTACGCTGTGTTAGGGGACGTGGTGAAGGGGAAGATGAGGGGGCATGTTTGGCGATGGGGTGAAAGGAAGGAGGAGGGGCCGTACTCAGGGCCGCCANTGAAGGCGCTGGTGAAGGCGGACCCGGACGTCACCCTGGCCAGCCAGGAGGCCGTGTTCGTGCTGGCGCGGGCCACGGTGAGGGGCGGCCCCTGGGGGTCCTGGGGGCCGGAACGCTGCGAGATGCGGGGATGCTGCTCGGTCTTCCCCAGGTTTTTCGTTCTCTCACGGACCCGCGGGGCGGCTGTGGTCGGCCAGAGCTGGGGAAGGGGCTGGAGCCCCAGGAGTGGCTGAGGGAGTTGGGGGGGCTCAGCATGAATCAGAGGAGGCTCGAGGGGACCTTGTGGCTCTGCACAACTCCCTGACAGGAGGGGACAGCCTGGTGGAGGTCGGTCGCTTCTCCCAAGCAAGAAGGCACAGGACAAGATGAAACAGCCTCAGGCTGCACCAGGGGAGATTTAGGATATTGGGGAAATTCCTTTATGGAGAGAGACGTCAGGCTCTGGCACAGGCAGCCCTGGGCAGTCACCATCCCTGGAACTGTTTACAAAAATGTAGCACTTGGGGACATGGGGTGGTGGTGAATGTGGAGGTGGTGCTGGGTTGATGGTTGGACACAATGATCTTAGAGGTATTTCTCCACCTCAGGGGTTTCATGATTCATCTCCTGAGCACAGGACACCTTTCTCCCTTTAGAAGGTGCCCTGGGAGCCCCTGGTGTGGTGCAGGTCTCTCAGAGAATGTGAGTTTCGAGGAATCCACATTCCCAGCTTTCTCCCTCATTGCTTGTCCTGTGCATCATTGTCCAGCCATTTCCTTTGGTATTTTCAGACCTGTTTACTGGGGATGGGTAATGTTAGGATGAAGATTCTGATTTAATCCTGAAGCCTTATAGGACCTTTCTTTTTTCTCAGGATATTCTCTCTCTGATCTTCTATGTGACCCTGTCCTATTTTGCAGGAGCTGTTTGTTGAAACCATAGCCAAAGATGCTTACGTGTATGCCCAGCAAGGAAAAAGGAAAACCCTGCAAAGAAAAGACCTGGGTATGGGAGCATGTTCTGTGTTGGCCTTTGCAAAGGGTTGCTGCTATGGGGGATTTTTCCACCTGTCTGGAGGTGCTGAAGTAATTATGGATTTATTCTTTCCCTGAAGATGGGAGAGAAAAACTTCTATCAGAGACTACACTAATAATTTCACACACCATCTCCGAAACAAGTAATTTCTCTTTGAAAGTGGTCACTGTGCTGTGATGTAATTTCAAATGTAAATATGGAGTTGGTTTATCTATTTTAACTGTTCTCAATTTGCTTTTCAGATAATGCCATTGAAGCTATTGATGAATTTGCTTTTCTGGAAGGTGAGTTTCTACTTGATTTTAGTACTTTGTGTAATTATCTACTTATGAGAGAAAGAACTGAGTCATTTCCAAAGCTCTCTGCTTCCACATCCTCGGTAATTCCTAGTGTGTCTTGCAGTGCCCCTCTGAGCACTGGAACGGCTCACCCTTGACCCTGAAGCACATGCAGTAGTTTTTTTGGCTATATTTGGTTTTACTCATGTGTGATTTGCTTAAGCTTTAAAGTTACTGCACTTTCTTTTTCCAGCTTGTAGACAAGATTTATTTGTTCACACAACCACACTTCTGATTCCTGAGACTGTAATGTGTTTTTTCATTTTCAGGTACTTTGGACTGAGCTGGACAGAGACAGCTCTCTGGAGAAAGAGACTGCAGAGTTGGTGTGAGATGGAAAACAGGATGCTGAGAGTTCAAAAATAATTCCTAGAACTGAGACACTGAAATTGAGACATGGCAACCATGATATTTTGTATAAAGTTGAAATTGTTGTAAGTTCTTTATTTAAAATGCATATTTTTTCATAACTATTTTGTATGTCCCTTCCCATGTGGCTGCAGTGCAGCTCTCTGCTCTGGCCAGGTTACACAGCATTTACTCCCAGTAGCAGTCCCTGCCTCTGGGTACTCTTCAGCACCATGGAGCTGTGAACAGAGAGTGGCTTGGCTCAGGTGCCCAGGCACAAGGAATTTTTTTAATGGAAGTGTGAGTTTTGTTACACATGTTTGTCTCTTAACACAATTAAATTTTTGTTGTTGTTGTTGAGCAGCTGTGCTGATTTGTGTGCTGGGGTTCCTGTAGCCTGGTAGTAAATGGTATGGTTTTGATAGGATGCCTTCTCTAGCATTTTGGTTTTGCTGATTCTTAAGGCATCCATTCCAGAGAAACCCAGCTGTCCTCCAGGGACTGGGGATGAGTTCCAGGGGAAGTTGGCTTGTTCTAAGGGCTGTGCACCTTCTGTAAGTGTCTGTGATTGTTGCACTTCTAAGTAATTGAAGGGAAAAAACCCAACCCCCCCAAACCTCATTTTGAATGCCAGAGGAGTGTCCATACTGCCATCACTGTTCTCTTTTGTGCTCTCACTCTTGAATCTGGCACAAATGTTTTCATTGGGAACTGGATCTGTTCCCTCCCTGTTCCCCTGGTCAAGTCGGTGCAGAGATCCCAAGTTGTGTGGTGAGGAGCTGTGTGCATCCTGTGTGCAGGAATGCTGCTGCCATCAGCTGTGTCTGAGGGCCCCCGACAGCACATGGGCACCAGCGCTGCCTCTCTGCTCTCAGGACTCTGGTGACCAGAGTTTTCTTTAGGTCTAAAAAGCACTTTAACTAGTGCTTTCCTATGTGGAGTTAACAGCAGAACAGTGTGGCTGTGGGGGACATGCTGCCATCACTGCTGTAATATGTCCTCCTGTGTTGCTGGCATTGTCCAGCTGCCACCTCTGACTCCATTTGGTGTGGGGAGGGACAGGATAGGGTTGGCCCCAGATAAAACCATTTAATGGGATGAAGGAGGTTGAGGTGAACATGATGCATGTTCTTTCAAATAAGAGTATTTGAGAGTGGCTCCCAGTCACCGCAAACTTAAATTAGTTTGGAAGTGGTGGTAAGAGCAAAGACTCCCAAGGGAGCTTCCCCAGGCTGTCAGCAAATCTAGTGACTCTCAAGAAACACTTTGAAGTTTGCTGGGAGCCTAATGCAAGCCTGATGATGCAGGGAGCACAATCCTGATCATGTGGGAGGTGCTCATTTTCCAGGCTGCCAAGGTGTTTGTTCAGATCACAGTGAGGGGACATTTGCTGGGCTATGCCATTTGGCTTGGAGCTGTTCACCTTCTCACCTGTCAGGGAAGGCAGGTATAAGTGTTGGATGTACTGGAGATTTTCTTGTGCTTCCCCAGGTGCAGTGTGCTTTCAGTGAGCTGCAACCTCTCTGGGTTCCCAAGAGTGCTCAAAAATCATTGAGAGATATATTTAAAATATTTGCCTAAAAATCAAAATCACAGTTTGTATGGCAGCAGAGCTGGGAGAATGGGTTAACAGTATCTTCAGCTGGCACACTGTCCTTTGCCAAGTGCCAGCTGTCTGCTCTGCTGTGGGTGAGGAGCACCCACAGGAATCACCACTGGAATGGCTGTTAAGCTGGGAATTACTGCCTGGCTTCCTGCTCACTCCTTCCTTGAGCAAAGGGACTCTCAGGCAGCCAGCAGCAGCTGTACCCCAAGTGCAAGTTTCAAATGTCCCTTCCTGTTTCTTGGTCCCCTGCCGCTGGCACTGGGTACACTGAAAATCCATTTTTAAGTCAATGCAAAATTTACATTTTTGCAGCACACACTGGGTCTGTGACTTCAGCAGGTCAAAGCAAACAGATTACAGTGGTGTTGCATGACACCATGGGCACTTCTTGTGAAAGTTTTCTTCCCTATTATCTGGTGAAATAAAGATTTACATCAATAAATCTTGGAGTACAGACACTGCTATCGAGGAAAAATAGCTCATTTGAAAAGGATTTCCAGAAGAAACAGCGTTTAGCCAATAAACACTGATAATTTGTAAACTCAAAATACAGTAGAGCAAACCAGTCCAAACCTCTGTGCCATGGTCCTGCACCTCCCCTGCTCCCACACCTGATGCCACCTTCCCATCCTCTGATGCAGAGCTGATGTGCCAATGCGGGACGTGTGGAGAGCTGTGATATTGGGGTTTGGCCACCGGGGACAGTTTTGTTTTCAGCTCAAGTAGCTTCAATGGGCTCCAGGAGAGATGGAGCCCTCTGCCCTCGACCCACTGGGCTGAGGCTCACTCAGTGCAAGATTTGTGCTTCAGCCATGGCTGAGCATCCCCTTTCCCTTTGCTAATCAGGGCACTGACCTGTTCTCACCCCATCCCTCGTGTGCTCACTAAAGAAAAAGCCTCTGATTTCCCAGTGAAATTTTGATTCTTTTTAGTTTGTGTGCGCTGACCAGTCTAATATAAAGTGTTTTACTCCTGGTCTGTAAACACCAGTTTGATGTGACAGCGCTGTTACTGCCAGACTGTCCCTTAGGAATTTCTGCATCAGACTGAAGGAATCTCTCCCAGGCAGACTTCCCAGGGGTGGGCGATGTCTTTTTTGTGGGTGTTTGTGTGGTACTCAGCCTTGGATTGGGCTCATTTTCACACAATGCATGAGTGGTAACCCTTGGTGGATCCAGTGTTTCACAGGTGTCTCTGGCAGTCCCATCAGCTCCTGTCAGCATGAACATCGGGAATGCCGCTCCAGGTGCCCATCCCAGCAGATCATCTCCCTCCACCTCAGCCTCCCAGGGCTCTCCAGACAGTCCTCCATGCTCAATTTCCTAAGGAGCAGGAAGGTGAGTGCTTGGGGCAGGGGGAGGGTCAGGTGCTAGGGACTGGGACGTGGTTTATACACGTTTTAAAAGACCTGCTTTTGGCTTCTGAGAAAACCTGTCGCTGAGTCTCTCATCCTTCCCAGTCCGAGCAGTGGCTTGTCCAGGTAAGACAGATGGAAACTCTCTAGCAGTGCTGGATGCCTGGGGCAGAGGAAGGGCTCAGCCAGGGAAGGGGCTGTGGCAGTGCCCACCCAGCTGCCCTGGCAGAACAGTTCTGGCTGGTCACAGCCTAGCAGCTCTTTCAACCACCTCTGCTGTACCTGAGAGCTGCTCTCTCTTGTGCAGAGAGGTTGGAGGCCTGCTTCCGCCTCTTTGAGCAAGACTGGCAGGATGTCATTCCCACATGATGTGCCATGTGTCACTCTTATGAGGGACTCGAAGGAGCCTGTGCATTTGGGACACAGCTGCTCATGTCATCCCAGGAGAGCTGACATTGCCTAAAGTCCCATCTCCGCTGGGATAAAAGACCCTGGAGAAGGGTGGAAACTCTGTGGATGTTGCACCTGTGTGTGCTGTGAGGGATCACCTGTAGCTAAGACAAATCTTGTTACCATTTGTCCCATTGTTACTAACACTGTGGCACTGCTGGTGCAGTGTCCTCCAGGCAGGCAGGGTGAGAGAGAGAGAGGAGGAAAAGCTGAGCCAGTTCCAGGTCAGGAGAGGTTTGTGTCAGGAGCTGATGCTGGAGGTTGTTCACTGCACTGTGTTTTCACATGGGTGTGTCCCTAGGCCTGTCCTGTACCTCTGCAGGTGAGAGCTTCATGTTCCTGCCCCAGGGATTTCCTACTGTGAGCTGGCCTGGCTGCACCTGGAGCAGCTCCTGCTCCTCAAAGGCCTTGGGGAGATGGAGGTGGTCAAGGGCTGCCACTGCAGCACCTGCCCCAAGGAATGTCTTCAGCTCCCAGCCCTGAAAACCTTTCCAGACTCTCCCTGGGAAGTCATAATGGATGTGGGGAAATGCTCTGACCCAACCTACAGTGCAGGTATGAACAAGGGAGAGCTCCTCTCCCTCCCTCTGGGAATATGGGAATGAGCCCTCTTGTGTGCCAGCACCAATGTCCAAGCTCCCAGTCTGCTGAGCAGAGCCCCTGCCTTTGGGAGCATTGGGATTGTGTTTTGGGGTTGCCTGTTGCTGGGTCTTTACCACACAGGTCTGCAAGCACAGTGATAATTCTCTGCCATGTGCATGGGTGAGGATGGGGATGCAACCACCTCATGTACAGGGAAATGTCCTTTAGCCAGAGAGCATGGATTCAGAGTAACCCAGGCTGGGAGGGACCTCGGGGGTCTCTGTTCCAACCCTCCCAGTCAAAGTAAGGAAACTAATCTGATGATAAAAGCTCTGCTGGATACAGAGCCCTGGAAAATGCAATTTTCTTACTTACTGAAATGCCCTTTTAGTACCAGTGAACTACACTGATGGCTCAAAATCACTTGGAAATGGAAACTCCAAACTAAATAATTCCAGACGGGTCAAAACCTCCCACTGTGACAAAGCTGAACTTGTTCATTGTGAACTAGTGAGCTGTCTTGTGAGTTCACTCCTAAAAAAACCCAAGACACGTCACTGGAGATGAACTCATTTTATCAGAATTGAAAGTGGTGTTGAAATGATTTACCACAGCTGTTTGACAAATTCAATTGTCCTGGAATTTGCTGATGTCATTTCTTTTTTGCATTTCTAACAACCAATCCGTTCAAACCTCCAGGAAGCTGCTGTGGCACCGCCGCTAGAGAGGGACAGAGACCGAGGGAGTGCTAAAGTGAGCCCGGAGAGCAGCGCAAGGGCTCAGGAATTCATTCCACGATTCTGTGAGCTGGAGGGGCCGGGAGGGGGCGGCGGAGCCCCCCGAGGGCTCTGCCTGAGGCCAGGTCCCCTCCTGGGACAGCGCCAGGAGGGCCTGCACAAGCGGCAGCAGCAGCTGCTTATCCAGCTGCAAGTGGAAAAGGCAATTAGGCAGCGTGAAGTGCTTTCTTCCAGAGCTGGGAGAATCAGCATTTACTTCCCAGACGTGTTAGTGGAAGGTGCTGGATGATTCTGTTGCTCCGGGGACGGGAATTCATGGAGTGGAGGGGGAGAATCTCAGTCATGGTAATAGCCCCGGGCTGACAAATGCGGACTCGCCGCCAGTTTTGCCTCTGCCCTAGGGCAGGTCTCTGCACTTTCCTTCTGGATCTTCCCATCTCATGTCGGGCTGATCCTTTCAATGTCTTGGTAAAGACTTGGAAACATCAGAGGAATGGGGCGGAGCGGGATGGGGATGGAGAGGAGTGTTAAAAGTCTCAAAAACACTGAGCCCAGAAACACTGACTTCCAGAAATCGGTTGTCATTTTATGTCCCACTCTTAAGGCATTCCAGAGATATTTGCTTTCAGAAATCACTTTTCCTCCCCCTGGAAAGAGCTCCATCCTGGAACAAAGAAATCTCCTCTAGCAGCTGATGAAGTAGTTGGGAGGGGGCAGGAAACTCTCAAAACCCGTTCAAAACCAGGAGCCAAACACAAACCGCGAAGGATCCACACCCAAAGGCTGGGGCAGGGCAGGACCCAGGTCCTAGATGGAGCCCAAACCCACTTGGCTATCAGCCCAGCCATCCTTCTCCCCTTCCTCTAGTCATGCAATGGAGATTTTTAACCCTAATTTACTTGGTGAGTGGAGAAAAGCTGGAAGATTTAGCACAGAAACAATATTGTTTCTTTCCACGCAGATCAGTAGCTCAGACTGTGATGCAGGACAGTCTGTGCCTCTGCCCTTCCAAGTTGATGTAGTTGAAGCTGGAGGAGCCTTATCCCTTCTCTCCGGTTGCTGAGCCCCTGCCTGGGCCATCCAGGACCTGCCATGGTGGCTTGTCCTGGTGTGGTGCTGACACAGGAGCAGGGATGTGGCTGTCGGTGTGCCAACCCTCCTCCCCCCTGCTCTCTGCAACCAAACCAGGAATTTCAAATCCAGACAGAACTGCTTCATGCCCTGGGAATTTTTCATTGAGTTAAAGCTGGAATAGGGAAAGAAAAGGCAGAGCAGGATTTTGTTCTGCACCCCGAGAGCTGGGGCCATTGTCCACCTCCCTCTTCCACTCCTCTGGTACCAGCCTCCCTTCATCCCACACCCCAGAACTGGGGCCAGCCTCGCCTCACCTCGCCTCCTCTCCTCTCCCATTCCCTGAACTTCCCTTCCCTGAACTTCCCTTACCTTCTTTCCCCATCCCAGGTGTTCCTGTGGGGAGCCCAGTGCAGATCACACCCTTTGGAGGTGTCTGGGGAATGTGTCTGCAGGACAGCCTGTAATGCTGGCTCCAGCATCTGAGAAGCCCATAAAGGGCACAGTCCCTAGCAAATCCAGAGGGAAATACTGAATGAGTAAATGCTAAATCACGTTCCCCCATCCCTGGTGTGAGAGTGTGGCTCTGGGAAAAGTTCTGACATCAATATTTTGTGTTCAAATACAGTTTTTCTCAGAGATAACATGGGGTGGCTGGTGCTCACTCCCCAGAACTGGGACTTTCACAGGGTCAGGGACATCAGTCACAACTTAAACCCACAATAACTGCCATTTCCTCATGGTCTCAAACTGGGATGGAGGAACAAAGCCTACCACTAAGGCCAGGAACTGGTGAAGGAATGAGCCCCAAACTCCCAGCTGGGACCCTGACACAGAGAACAGCCTTTTCCAGAGGGTGCTAGATGCCAAAAGCTGGTTGTTCTGTACTGCTTCTGCAGGAATCTGGGCTGCAGCTCCAAGTTAATTTTCCTTCTTGATTCCTTGTAGATGGACTTCTCTGTGTGCCCACAAATTTCAGCACTGTTCTGGTCAAAAACCCATGTGGTGGAGAGGTGGTTCAGACACTGCAGAACTGTGAAATGAAGGAAAAATGCTACCGTGTCTCCCAGGTAGGATATTATTATGAAATTGTCCAGAACTGTGCAGGACACAGGGAGGAACAGCTCAAGGTAGGTTTCCAGGGGTTTCGCTCCTCTCTGGTGAGCTCAGCTGGGCCCTCATGTGGGGTCTGAGCTGCTGGGTAGATGCTCTAACATCAACAGCTTCACACTAGCATCGAACTAGAGTGGTAAAAACCTCACATTTATATTCTTTCATGATATAAAATGTATTTTACTGCCACTAATTCGTGCATACATCAGAGACATAAAGGAACATAAGGCTTTTTATTTGGATTGAGGATTTATTTTAAAAAGTAATTAAGGAACAATGATACTTATTTTAAAAAACATTTAGTTGTTAGGTATGTCTTCAGTTCAGCAGAGACCCTACTGCCTAGTAGGCTGAGTATACCTTCGTACACAGGGACCTCTGATTCAAAAACTACTGCTATGCCCCCAAAATATTTCTTACCAGCTGCTGCCCTTCTTTGGGGATGGATGCTGAGCCTGAGGCTGGAGGGAAGGTGGAGAGTCCTGGGGTGTCCCTGCTGAGGTGCTGCAGGGGATTTTTGTGCCTTTGTTTTGCAAATCTTTGCAGGAAATCGGTGTGGGAAGGTGCTTGGGCAGCTGCTCCTCGGGGGATCTCTGCTTGCTTAGGTAAGCACAGCTGTCAGGCTCCATCTGCTCTCCCTCCCGCATATCCACACCCCGGGCCAGGTGGGAGCTGCCCCTGTTCCTCTCACCCAAGGCATCTGCGGCTCCCGGGGTTTGGGGGCACACAGAGCAGGGTTTGGGTAGCACCCCCAGCTCACCCACCATGCTGTGCTGTGCTGGAGGGAGAGCCAGACCTGCCATGATGGGGCTGAATTCAGCAGGTGGTTACAGAGCCTGTGATGTCCCAGGACAGCAGACAGATCCTGACAGTGGCTTCTAGAGCCTGGAATGTGCCACTTCTGTCTCTCACCTCCTGGCAAAGCTGTGGGGAAGTAGGGGGTTGCTGTGGCAGGGTGTGTCCAGGCAGTTGTTTCAGGCTGAAGGGGCAGGACTATGTGTTGATTGTAGACATAAAAATATGGGTCCCCAGCACAGGAAAGACATGGACAAGGGGGGAATGGCTTCCAGTGGCAGAGGGCAGGGCTGGATGGGATATTGGGAAGAAATTCTTGGCTGGGAGGGTGATGAGGCCATGGCACAGGTAGCCCAGAGCAGCTGTGGCTGCCTTATCCCTGGGAGTATTCCAGCCCATTTTGGAAGCAAGGTTGGTGCTTGGAGCACCCTGGGATAGTAGAAGGTGTCCCTGCCTATGGCAGGAGTTGGGATGAGATGAACTTTAAGGTCCTTTCCAACCCAAACCGTGCTGGGATTCTTTGCATGCAAAGGGAAGCAAATCAAACCATGCAGGAAGAAAGACCTGATCTGTTCAGGCAGAGGGAGGTGACAGTTCACGAGTTACTCCAAGAGTAAGGAATAGATGCTGCAGGAAAAAAGCTGCCTCCCTTCTCTCTCATCCTACTCCAGAGCATCTACCCTTTTCCCAAGTGAAAGGTCCAGGATATAGGGGGCTGGTGGTGTACTGGGGATGTACTGGGGATATACTGGTTTTTCTTTGACTGCACTGGGAGTCTACTGGGGATGTACCAGGGATGTGCTGTTTTTTCTCTAGCTGCAGGGAGTCACAAGACAGAGAGGAATGCCTGTTTTGGGCACAAGCTGCCCCGAGACACTGTGCCCTCACGACTATGACATGCTCAGGTTCCAGACGCACCCATCACTGCCATCTGGGAGTGCAAGTATCGGGGATAGCGGGGCTGGAAGCTGCGGGTGGGGCTCCTGGAGACCCTGCCAGACTGTATGTAGGATATGTAAATGAGATAAGGCTGTTTTTAGTATAAAAGCTACTTTAACCAGCGGGTATAAATGAACCCTCTACAAAATGTTTTACAGCTTGTAAAATAAACATCATGGGCAATTTGCAGGTCCTTGGGTTTCCACCGTGCAGCTCCACGGCCCCTCTGCATCCAGCATCCCTGGAGGATGCAGCCGTCTGGCACAGGCTGGGGGGTGCACGGGTTGGCTGCTCCAGTTACAAACTGGAGCTGGAGACAAGAGAGGGAACCAGGAGCTGGGCATATTGGGGCAGAGCTGTCTCTGCAGGCACCCCCAGATATCTTGGACGTGTTTCTGGTGAGCTGGAGAGAGAAAGGAGAGGATCCCAGGGGTACAGATAATTTCCTCTCTCCATTAACTCCAGCCTGTCGGTGTCACCGTGCCTGTTCTGCATAATTAACAACCCTTTGGGTTGGAATAAACTGTGGGCACCGCTGGACATTAGCCTTTACCTTGTCTCCCATCAGGTGGTCCTATCAGGGCTCCAGCCCTGATGAATTAGTTAATTAATGCTAATTTTTTCCGTTTATTCCCATGGCAGCTGTGCAGTGTGTCATGTCCACCTGCACTAGCTTGGTTTCTCTGTTATTGGGGAACAAGACCTAAAGAATTGGCTTTTATCCCACTACCCGAATATTTCATTAAGTTCAAGCATTCAGGAATTAGGAGCAAATGCCTTTTCATTCCCAGGAAGACAACAGCCTTTTATAATGATGATGATGATGATGATGATAATAATAATAATAGTAGTAGTAGTAGTAGTAGTAGTAGTAGTAGTAGTAAAAAGCAAGCTGGATTAGGGTGCTGTGCTGCTGCTGCAGTGTGACAGCCTGGGGCTGCAGCACTGCCGGGTCCTCTGCTGGAACCCGCTCTGCCCCATGGCAGACTGGGGACCCGGGGCACCCCACCCTGCACACCTGACAGGAACATGGTACAGGGACACCAGTGTGATACTGAGCCCCCGCCACGATCCTTGCTCTCAGCAGCGGTTTCGAGAGGGGCAGCATGAGCTGCTGTGACTGGACCGGGATGGGAAGGGGATGCTCATCTTGATGGGCTGCATTCCTCCACACAAAAGTCATCCGATTTGTCCCATTAGTGCCATCATTAAAATCCAGTTAGTCTCCTACGGAGAGCAAATGCAGCTCAGCCAAGACCCTGCAAGGGTCTGGTGGCCCCAGACCCCCGTTTCCCCTGCCAGCCCTGGGAGTGCCTGGTGAGCCGTCCTCCTTCCCTCTTGTGTACTGGGGCTAATTGATGCAGGGGGCCCGGGAGCCAGGCTTCTCACCTTGTTAGCATGGCAATTAACTCTCTTTACCCTCCTGATTGCTCCTGTGCATATTTTACTCCAGTCCAGCTTTCTAGTGAGTTATAAATGCAGCACCGGGGAGGCCGGGGGAGTTGTGTAGGGACAGGGAGCACAGAGCCATGCTGGGGACTGTCCTGCTGCTGCTGGCCCTGGCCAAGACGGGATGCCCGAGCCCAGCCAGCTTGATGAGCCGGCGGGCTGAGGCGCTGAAGAAACTCCTGGAAGTCTTTGGCATGGAAGACCCTCCAGCCCCCCCAACTCACTTCAAGCGGCCCCCCCAGTACATGGTGGATCTGTTCAACACTGTTGCCAATGCGGATGGCGTCACCAAGAACCCTTTCGTCCTGAAGGGCAACACCGTCCGCAGCTTCCTGGATAAAAGTAAGGGTGGGGGGGTTCCCTGTGGTACTGGGATGCGGCTCTGGGGAGGGGCTGAATGTGGTTGGTGGTGCTGCCACCGCTGTTTTTGCTCTTTTCAATGCATCCTTCTTCTTTCCAGCGCACAGTGAGGAGATGCGGTTCCTGTTTGTCCTCTCCAGCGTGGCCAAGAATGAGAAGATCCTGATGGCAGAGCTGCACCTCTTCCGCCTCTGGCAGAGGGTCACACATAGGCCCAAAAGGCACCACTTCTGCCAGGTGAGGAGGGGGATGAGGATAGAGATGGGGCTGTCCCCCAGCCTGTGCCCAGGGATGCCACTGGCACACTGTGGTCATTTGCCTGCAGTGGGAACATGATCTGGCTCTAGTATCACATGAACAAATGTTTCACAGAGAATCATGATGATTTAACTGTGGCAGGTTCTTAAATATCCTTCTGGCTTGTGCAAACATCAGCAAAGACACACCAAGGTTGTTATAGATCCATGCTGACAATTCCCCATCTCCCCCCATACCTCTGTCCAGGGTCAACCCCTCAGGCAGAATCAAGGGGTGACCACCTTTGCCTTCCCCAGGTCAGTGTGTACCAGGTGCTGGAGAAAGACAAGCCAGACACCTCTGGAGGGAAGAAGCTGCTGGTAGCACGGACGGTCTCACTGCAAACCTCGGGCTGGGAGGTCTTTGCCATCACATCGGCTGTGAGTCACTTTTCCTCTGTTTTGGGCAGCACAGAGAGGATCCTGGGGTTCACATGCAGGAGGTTTTTAAACCCATTTCACCCTCAGAAGCCTTTCAGGCTCCAGTGTAATTTCCTGTCTGCAGTCTCTGCAGTGACATGGGGAGATGCATCCTCTGGGAGGGGGAAGAAAAAGTCATGCCAAGAGCCCCAGGAGCTGCTTCATCCTTCCCCAAACTTGTCTCACTGCTCTGCAGGGAGTTCTGGTGGTGGCTCCTGCCAGTGTCCCCTGTGCTGCATCCCCAGAGCAACCCCTTCTCATGGCACACAGAGTGTGGCCTCAAGGGGTCCCAGTTCACCATGTCCTGCTGCTGGCCTGGGACCTGCCTGTGAGGACACCAGTGCAGTGCCTGTCCTGGTCCACCATGACACTGGTTTGGTTCCCCAGGTTCGTGACTGGACTGAAGATGAAAGCAGAAACCAGGGTTTGCTGGTGACAGTCCAGAGCCCGGATGAGAACCCGCTCGACCCCCCACCACTGCAGTTTGCATCTGGCAGGGGCCACCATGAGAGCAAGAAGCCCATGTTGGTCCTTTTCACGGATGATGGGCGCCGTGGAGCGTTGCAGCCCACAGCTGGCTTCCCAGGTGAGTCCCATACGCCTGGCACGACTCCCTTGGTGCCAACATCCCTTCCCCAAGGGGTACTCCCCATCCCCACATGTGGACTCCTCAAATCCAAACCCCCTTCCCTGGCTGGTAGGAGAGGTTCTCTCATTTCTGGTGTAGCCCACTCAGGGGTGTTGTCTGCTTACAGATGTGTAGCTGGATTTGAGTTTGGCGTGAGACTGAGGCTGTCACCTTCTGGTGGCTCTGTCTGAGTTGGTGACAGGCTGTGACCAGAGGTTGCAGACAAAACCTGTGGGGAGGGATGGCCAGGGGTGGGGGGAGGCTGCAGTATTTTCTTCCTTCACCCAGGCTCATGCAATAGCCAATGGCATTGGATGCTCTTTCTGACAGATTTAAAGCCTCAGGCTCCTGATCTCCCTGCCAAGTTGCCAGTGCCCAAGCTGGGCAGATCACGCAGTACACGCTCGCTGGACCGGCCCCAATCCTGCCAGAGGTACCCATTGTCTGTGGACTTCGAGGAGATTGGCTGGTCTGGCTGGATCATCTCACCACGGGGGTACAACGCCTTCCACTGCAAAGGCTCCTGCCCCTTTCCTCTGGGCGAGAACATGCGGCCAACAAACCATGCCACAGTGCAGTCCATCATCAATGCCCTGAAGCTGAGTGAGGGTGTCAGCAGCCCCTGCTGTGTGCCTGACAAGCTCTACTCCATCAACCTCCTCTACTTTGATGATGACGAGAATGTTGTCCTCAAGCAGTACGATGACATGGTGGCCGGGAGCTGTGGCTGCCACTGAGGCAGGAGAAGGGGGCTGGAATCACCGCTGCAGTGGAGGCTGCTCCCTCCAGAGCATCAGTGAGGTCTCTGTCCTATAAACCCTATAAAACAGATTGGGACGAGCAAAGCAAGGGTCTGCCCTGGATGGTGTCACTCCCTGACAGGGCCAGCCCAGGAAGGCTCAGGGCCAAGCTCTGATTAAATCAACTTGAAGGAGCCCGTGTGAACCAGTAGCCACAGGGCTGCAGCTCCGTTTTGGGGTGCTCTGTGCAGGTGCATGGGTGTCCCTGCCCATGCAGAGGCTCCTGCAGGCTGTACTATATGTATATAGCAAGAGCACTAATATATGACAGATACCGCCTGTACAGTGTCCTGTAAATGTCCGTACATTCCTGCATTGCTGTGACTTGTAAAATTAATTCAGAGCAACTATTTAAACATGCCATTCTCCAAAAGCTGCCTGTGGACTCTGAATTGCTGCCATGAACAGGACAAGCAGACATCTTGCAGGCACAGGGAAGGGGGTGCACATGGAGGGATGGAGATGTAGCTGCAGCACAGTCTCCAGGGGCAAGGGGATGAGGTTGGTGTGCCCCATTCCTTGAAAGCTGGATGGTCTCAGGATCCATCAGCCTGCAACTGGGGGTGCAGGGAGATGAGCAGGCAATGGGGGTACTTGGGGGAATGTGGTGATGGAGTCTGGGGTGGGACAGGGGTGTCTATAGGGGTAGACTGCTGGGGCAGTGTCTGTCTGTGGTTTAACCCCAGATCGCAACTAAGCATCACACAGCCACTGGCCTCCCCCTCCACCCTGGTGGGATGGGGAGGAGAATCAGAAAAGGTAAAACCTGTGGTTTGAGATAAGGAAAGTTCAATAATGGAAATGAAATAAAATATGGTAATATTTAATAATATTTGTAATGAAAAGGGAGACACCAAAAGGAGGGAATGATAAACCCCAAGACAGACAAGTGATGCCCAATACCCAATTGCTCAGCACCAACTGATCTGTGCCCTGCCTGTCTCCTAGCAGCCATCAGCCACTGGAAGATCAGTGTGTGATCAAGATTATTCTCACACTGAATCTAAAATACAGCGTTGTACCAGGCACTGGGGAGAAAATGAACTCTATTGCAGCTGAAACCCAGACAGTGGGGCAGGAGAGCTCTGGGGGAAGATGGTCAGAGGAAAATGCTGTGCTCAGAGAGAATGTTCTCTCTGAGAACAGAGAGAAAAATGGGGTGGAAACCAGAGCCGCCCAATGCTGTGGGGTCAGGTCAGTGCCGGGGAGGTGTACAGAGGGCGGGTGTCAAATGTGGGTTACTAGGGAGTGGGTGTAGGTGTTGGTGGTCAGGGTAGGGGTCACCTCACACCTGCTGGCACAGCCCCCTTGCCCCCTGCAGTTCAGCTCTCAGTGGGAGTGTGGCTGTCCCTGCCAGAGGACTCAGCTCCCCCAAGTCTCTTCCCAAGTTTCCAACATCAGCAGCTTAGCCACAGTCCAAGACTGACACCAGGGGTCCCGTGGCACCTCTGCATCTCCAAGTCCTGCTCACAAGTAAGTGAATTGTACCCTAGCCTGGCTGGCAGCCAGTTTCTTCCCCCTGCTCTCCTGGAAATAGCACCAGCAGCTGTTGATCCCCACACCAATCCTCCCTGCAGCCCGAGATCCCTCTCTCCATCTCACCCAAAGGAAGGGTGTATCCCTTCAGGAGGCCCATTGACTGGACATGGTCCCATGCTGGAGGGTAAATCCTTCCCCTCTGCCCCCCAGACATGTCCCCCCCACTGCCTCCCATGATGTGAACACAGGGCAGACCCAACTGGTGTGTCCTGATCATATGCATGTCCCAGCTCCAGTTCCAATGCACCCAGGCCCAGGCACCTCATTCCAAAACTAATGCATGGACAGGCTCACATGGATCCCTGAGAGCCCCGTCCTTGCATTGATGGAATTGTGAGCCTTGAGGTGATGTCCCCTCCTCACTCCAAATGATGAGCAGTTTACTGAATGACACACAGTTGGCTGGACAAGAATGCAGGACAATGAAGTTTTGGGCCTGGTCTGTTAAATGCCTGTTCCTGAGGGTGCTCTGGCTACAAGCTCTGTATGCCTATAGTGCCTGCAGGTCCATCACAACAGCATCCCAAGTCAGGACTGTGCCCCAGACTCCAGGGTAGTGAGAAGAAGAACAGATTTGGCTGGAAGGATGCATGGCTGTAGCCTTTCCTCTGGGCCTTCACCCAAATCCCCACACTTGACTAGGCCTGGGCTGCTTGGCTGGGAGGGAGTCACTGGGCCCTGGGCAGGGGGAGCCTGTGTGTGTCCCACTCAGCGGGAAACAGAGCAGCACCTGCACGTGTGTCACACTGGGCTACCTGCCTTGGACAGGTGACAGTTCAGTCCCATCCCTCACTCCCTGTGATGTCAGAGTGCCCTTTGCCTCAGCCCGTGGCAGACAAACCTCCTGCCCTGGCCATACAGCTCCCAAGCCACCTGTGACTGGCTGCTCTGTGGGACAGCAGTGTCTGGCACACAGCAGTAAGGGAGGTCCCAGCTGGCAGCAGCTCCTGTGCAACAGCAGAGCCCCAGCACTGTTGGGACTCTGCCCATAGCTCAGAGCCTCCCTGGGGGACAGAACCTACTGTGAGGATGGCCAGGACAGGGGATGTCTGCGGGGTGGGGAGCCTGTGTCAGTGGTAATAGCGGGGCTCAGCTCTCCAGCACTCTGAGAACTTCTGCAGGACTCGCTTCTTCAAGCGGATCCTCCTGGAAAGCTGAAGTGACTGGCTCATCTCATGAGCCTTCAGCTTGGCATAGTAGTCAGAAAATTTGTTGTAGAGGATGGAGATGGGCATTCCATTGAGGATGATGCCAAAGGAGATGCAGACAAACGCCACCATCCTGCCGAGTATTGTGTCAGGCACAGTGTCTCCGTAGCCCACAGTGGAGAGGCTGACCTGTGCAGGAACAGAAAAGTATAAAATCCCATGGAAACAAGCCCAGCAGACCCCACTGGCTGGTGCTGGAACTCACTCCCTCCTGCCCTCTGTGGAGCCACCTGTCCCCTGTGACCAGTGCCAGACCCTGGCCCTGAGAGCAGCCAGCTGAGCTGTGCCCTCTCCAGAGCCTGCAAAGCCAGGGCGTCGCTGTCCAGGCAGGCCTGGAGAGCTGAAGGAAAGGGCTGGCTGAGCCCCAGAAGCAAAGATCAAAGGCCAGACCCTGCTCCCTTACTGCTCTGTGTGTGTCTCTTCAAAGGCAGCTGGACACCCCTGAGCTGAGCCTTCCCCAGCAGTCGGTGTCTGCTGGAGCTTCCTTCCCCCTCAGAGCTGTGGCTCCAGAGCTTCCTGACTGCAAGGTGCTTGTTCCCAGACAAAGCTTCCTGGAGGGATACCTTCCTGGAGCTTTCCCCTCCATGGAACACAGAGGCATTGCCTGGGAATGAACCGTGTTTAGTAAATGGGGAGCAGCGCTATGGGGACAGGGTGAGCAGCTGAGGCCAGAGAGGTTTGGGCTTGGCAGGGAGCTGTGCTCCCAGGGACAGGCTTAGCCTGGGATGTTGAAGCACTTGAACATAGTGATGTTGCTGGTTTTGCTCCTCCTTGAGGAGGGATGAATTTGAAGCAGATAGCCTTTGGTGGCCAAAGGTTATTGTAAGAGCAGAAGTGATCTGTGGGATAATTTCATCTGTAAATCAAAATGCCCTCATAACCCTTGGCTCTCGTGCTTTAGCTGCTCCCCATCTCAGAGGCAATGCCAGGTTTATTATAGTGCTCAGCTCTGCAGAGCTGCCGGCTCCTGGCACAAGCAGGGCAGCGAGTGGTCAGCACACCCCAGTCTGTGTCCACTCTCATGACACGGGCTGAGGCACAGTGTGACTATGGGTCCCACATGCAGCCCTGGGTTCCCCATCTCAGACCCACAAACTCTTGTGCCTCTCGAGCTCAGCAGGGCTGCAGTGCTGCCCAGGTCTCAGGCTATCCAAGGTGGCTGACCCCATGCCCACAGGCTGCACCCACTCAACACATGGGTCCCATGACAGATAAAGCTGAGTCACATCCCCTTTGTTCAAGTCAGGCCTGGAAGTACCCAAGCCACCACCTCTGTCCCACCATCCCATCCCAGGACCAGATTTTGAGCCTCTCAGGTCAGTCCAAACCTCTGATTTCTTTCCTCAGAACATGCAGGGCTCTGAGTTTCCCACCATTACTGAGCTGGAGGGAAGGCTGGGCCCTTTCTGCCTCCTGGCCAGCAGCAGTGGTGAATCCCCTAAGCACCAGGGCAGCCCCTACCCACAGAGCCTCCTCCACGCCCCTCTGGAAGAAGCTGCTCACACCTTACCGCTGCCCACCACCATGCGCAGGGGATACTGGTGAAGTCGGTGCCAGGAACATCATGTTCCACCGAGTGTATGAGAGCGGAGAAGGTGAAGACCCCCATGGCAATGAAGAGGAGGAGGCAGCAAACCTGCTGGTAGCATTGGCGCATGGTGAAGCTGAAGGCTCGGAGGCCAGTGGAGTGACGTGCCAGCTTGAGGATGCGGAAGATCCTCATGAGCTTGATGAGCTTGAGGACTTTGCCCAGTTTGCTCACATTCTCCACCTTGTGCAGCTCCTCATGGTACTGCATGTCTCCATCATCCAGATTTTCAAAGAGGATCTGGATGTAGAAGGGCAGGATGGCCACCAGGTCTATAGCATTAAATGCTGCCCGCAGAAAGTTCTTGAAGCTGGAGGAGGATATGAGCCGCATGAGGTATTCAGAGGTGAAAAAGATGGCACAGACCATTTCCATCTGCTCCATCCACATTTTCCCTGTCTTGTTTTTCATCTCCTCCACTGTGCTCAGTGTCATACCCACAATGGAGATAAGCACAAAGAAGCTTGACATGACAGCAATTATCTTGGCTGGGACAGAAGAGTATGGATTCTCAATGAGGTTCCAGACCATTTTCCGAAACCGACCCAGAAATTTGCCATCAAACTGCGCCCCTGACTCCAGGGGCTCCAGTTCTGCCTCCAGCTCCTTCTCTATTTTCAGGTACTCACTGAGTTCATCTCGCTTTTCCTCGAACAGGATCCGGCAGCAGCTTTGGGAGTATTTCAGATGGATTCCCCAGTACTCAATTTCCTCAACAAAGTTACTGGGGCACATCTCATCCATCACCCACAGGACCCCACTGCGGTAGAAATGGAAAATGTAGTGGAAAATTGAAGGATCTCTGTCAAAGAAGTACTCATTCTTCTGCACCAAGTAGTCATCACAAAGCTGCAGCTTCTTCACAGGATCTGTAGAGAGGGCCAGCTTCCCAAGCCGGGTGATGGGATACCGGGCCAGTACCTTGTAAGCTATCTGGAACAATTTGCCACCCACGTTAATGTTGAGCAGGTACTTGTTCCTTTGGATGGGAGTCTGGCTCTTCTCCTGGTTACTATCTGCCACGTTCTGCATGGAGTTCCATTGCCTTACCAGGCTGTCCTGTGCAAATGGGATGTAGGATTCCTCTTCCTCCGGGGTCCGGCAGTGGCCTCGGTGATCCCCTATCTTCAGGCTGGCCGAGAGACTCGCGCGCCTGGTCCATTGTTGCCTCATGGTGCCCAGCCTTCCGAAGCGGTGACTCCTGTTATGGGCAGCAGGACAGCAGCTCTGGCTTCAAGGGAATGCTCCCACTGGGCACACACTGACTAGGACAAGTGCTGCGAGCTCAGGGCAGTGGAGTGGCTGCCCGAGGGGCACAGCTGTGTCCTGGTGCCACGTGTCACCTGCCGGGGTCCCAAAGCTGATTGCTGATCAGATTGGGGTTTGCATTGTAGCAGTCAGAGGCGGCCAAGTGCCCGCTCCTTAAGACACTAATGAGATTGAGGCACTAGTCCTTTATGTAAGGAACTATTTCTAGCTCTGCACTTCTCTTTTCCCTTATTCTCTTCTTATTAGCTGTTTGCATTTGCTGCATGCTGTTTCCTGGAAGGACATCCATGACAGCAAACTGGAAACAGCACAAGCTTGCCTCGATTTACCCTCTGTTGATGGGACAGGAAGGTGCAGACATGCAGGGTTTGTATTGTCTTTGTACCCCCACAGCAGATGCTGCTCTTGGCACCAGCCCTTCGTTAAAGGCTAATGCAGCTGGCCCGGCTGTCAGCTGTCACAGCCGGGGAGGGGAGATGGTCATGACCTCTCAGCTCATCCCTCAAGTCCCACAGTGTAGATTTAGAGCGGATGAGGTGAAGGAACCACCTCTACACAGTGTGCAAGAAGGTCCCCTGAGGGACAGGCTGCTCTGTGCCCCTGCCCTGTGTCTTCAGCCCCACTACTCACCCAGACAGGGGCAGGAACAGAGAACAGGGAACACTGGAAATACAAGTAGACAGTAATAGTTCCTCTGAACTATTGGAACTGAAAAGGAGGAAATAATCCTTTGATTTGCAAGTAGAAGGGGAACCAAAATTAAACAGGCTGATTTTTGAGGTCTTACCATGGAAGAGGATCCTACTTCAATATGTAAAACATCATATTGATCTCCATGAACTGGTCTAATTAAATACAGAGATGTGAAGCACAAAGATGCTCCTGGCTTGAAAAGCAGCTCAAACTCCACTACAAGTGAAGCCCCTGAGCTTGGAGATTAGAACAACAAAAACACTTCTAGCACTGGACAGAGGAAGGGAAATTGCTGTCAGAAACACAGCCCAAAATTTTGGCACAAGATCCATGAAATGTATTTCTTTGAACCCTGAAGCACTCAGGGAGCAGAAAGCAAAACCTGCAATGTCTTGTGAATTTGCCCCAGGCCCTCACTCCTCATCACACAGAGCAAGCACTGTGCCTTGTACCAAAGAACAGGCAGGCTCAGCTTGGCAGCTGCAGCTCACGGTATGATCTGGGACTGGCTGGTGACAGCTGACCTTGGCCATGTGGCCCTGCCAGCACCAGCGCTTCAACTGGCCCCAGCTCAGCCCTGTCCTGTTGGGACTCCTGGAGCCCTTCCTGGAGTGCTTCCCACTTTGTACTCTGCTCTGGCAAAGAAAGGACAAGTTCAGGCATTTTTTTCACCTTGCTTTTGGCTGAACTCCCCACTTGTTCCTGGGTCAGCAGTAGCACCTCTGGTGCTACTGTGGCATCTGTTTCTCCTGTCTCCACCCTCTCTGTTTGCTTTGCTCCTGTATTTAATTTTGTCTGCTATAGCTGGTGTGTGCTGGAGTATCATCTGTCCTGGGAAGGCACAGCAGCACTGGCTTCCCCACAGCATCCCAGGCCAGCCCACCCACACCAAGTCTTCTTTCCCAAGATGTGACCATCCAAAGGTGATGGCCTCCTAGATACAGAATCCATGCAAATGCACATATCCAGGAAAAATAAAGACTCCAGAACTTGTTAATTCACATTCTTTATTCTCCTGTGTCAGTCACCACAGCTATTTCTGCCTGCCCCTACGGAAACAGAAGGTTGTGTGTGCCCTTGCAAATGACTCCTTGGTACTAAAAATAGCAGCCCTGGAATAACTCAGGACTCCACACCACATATAGAAGTTTCTCTCATGGGGTATGGCAGCACTCACATGCTATCCAGGAGCGGAAGACTCCTACTCCAAGACTTATGACTGGTGTCTGCTTGGCAAGCCAAGTTCCCACCTTCAAGGCACAGAGGTCAGCAGCCAAGGCAGCAGCTTGGCACACTTAGTGAACACTTGTGCAAGGTGCACGTGGCCAATGCTGAACTAGAGGCACTGGGCACTAATCTGCCCCTGCACAGTCAGTTCTGAGAGCTGCACAGCACTGAGTCCTTTGGCTGGGACTCCATGTGCCACACAGACAGTGTCAGACCCAAGACATGATTTATTTCCAGGGACACCTCCACTAGACCAAGATGCTCAGAGCCCTGTCCAGCTTGGTCCCAGGGATGGGGCAGTCACAACTGCTCTGGGAAACCTGTGCCAGGACCTCACCATAAAATCCTCCTTCATGTCCTACCTAAACCTCTGTCAGTTTGTATCTGTTGCCCCTTGTCCTTAACAGGCCTTGGTGAAAAACCCCTCTCCATCTTTCTTACAATTCCCCTTTAGACATGGACAAGACACAACAAGGCTCCCTGGAGCCATCTCTTCTCCAAGGTTTGCCCTAACAAAGGTGCAGGACCTTGCACTTGACCTTATCGAACTTCATGAGATTCCTGTGGGCCTGAAGACCCCTCTGGATGACATCCCCCTCCCCAGCTGCACTCCACAGCCCAGTCTCATCCTCAGACTGGCTGAGGATCTACTTGATCCCACTCTACACACCACTGATAAAAACATGGAATAGCACTGGTCCCAGTACTGACCCTCAAGGGACATCACTCATGTCAGAACAGTTTTAAGGAAGACACCATTGAGAGTGTTAAGAGGAGCCCAATGCAGCATTCAGCACTGGGGTGGGCAGAGCAGGTCTGCCAAGGGTGGAGATGTTTGTGGAAAGGAGTGTGAGAGGAGCTGCCAGTCCAGGGCCAAGGAGTTCCTTGCCCCATGCGGGCTCAGGTAACAGCACAGCAAAGCCAGAGCAACTGTCACCCTCATGGTGGCACTCTCAGTAAAGGCCTCCCATGCATGGGACTGAGCAGCATCAAACAGTAGTGCAAACATGGAGTTTTTGTCTGATCTGTGCAGCCAGGGAGAACCTATGGAAATAGGTGAGAAAGCTCCTGTTTCCTGACAAAATCCAGGAGAAAGAATGGGGCAGATGAAAAAAGGCTCTTGGCTGGAAGTGGAAGGAGACAGCTGAACAGCACCTGGCATTTCAAGGAGAAAAACATCTTCGGGCCCGAGGCCACGGTGGTGGGCATCAGCAGTAACAATTGTCATGCAGAGCAATGGAGACATTTCTACCACCTTTGGGAGGGCTAATGTCACAGCGTCAGGGGAGGTCCTGTGCTATTTCTGGAGCCAAGGCAGTCCCACAATCTAAAACTCATTTACAAAGGGTGCATCTTCTTGGTATTCCAGTGTAACAACCCAGATTTGAGAGCTGATGTCCAATTCAGTCAGGCTGTGGTGAGCAGGAGACAGACTGGGCTAGTTGCACCTTGGAATAAGGGTCCCTGTTACAAAGCCAGGAAAACACCTGGTTATTGACAATCCTTTGGGAAGAAACCTAGTTTGACATCAATTTATGCAAAGTGGAGGAAAAAAATCCCACACCAGAAAATCAGTATCTCAGCAGGACTGCTCCATGTCCTTGGCATCAGGGATGAAAGGGGAGAGTTCTGCTGCTGCAGGGCAGACTGAAACCCCAGGCATCTGCTTGGCAAGCACCAGGGATGCTGGGAAAACCTACACCCAAAGGGGAAAGCTCTAGAAATTTCTTGCCAGAAACACAGGGCAAGAAGGAACTTCTCCCTCAGGCACATGGAGCAAAACAAATGGGATGCAAAACACTTACCCTTCAGGGCAAGGAGCCTTTCCGGCTCTTGTCAGGCATCAGCTGTTCCCTGGATGCTTTTTCAAGACTGAAGGTGTCAGATCTGCATTTTGCTTTGGACAGACCCCACACAGCAACAGAACCTGCAGCTACCAGGATAATCAGGAGCTCTGGAGAGGAGAGTGCACAAGCAGAGACCCACTCACTGCCCTGGTCTTGGGACAGGGCTCTGCTGCTCAACACCATGAGGCAGCAACCAGAGATGAGCAGTGTCCCTCAAGGGCAAGGGACAGACAGAGAGGAGGTGAGCTAGTGCCAGATCGCAAAGAATGGCCTTTTCAAGGACATGACACATCAAAGGCAGAGCAATAATTAATGTGTGGTGTCAGGCCTCCCTTAGCCCTCCCAGGCCAACAAAAGCAGCTACTGATACAGGTCTGGAATTGACCCCATCAGGACACTCAATTTATAGCCCAAGGTAAGTAGGTTCAAGACCATGTGCTGCACTCTTGAGTCTCATGTACCTGCAACAATCAAGATCCATGTGTAACCTGGACTCCTTGATGGCACAGAGACCTCAGGCTCAGGTGTAACTGAAGGCTCTGTGAGGAAAAAGAAACAAGTCCATGAGGCTTCCAACTCACCTTATGGTCAGCACTCAAAGCAGTCTTCAGTCCACAGCTGGATGAGTTCCCAGCTCACCTCAAGAGCACCAAGAGGCCTTGTTCAATTTAAGTGAAACCTTATCTGCTGCTACTGTGATTAACCCACACTGGAGGAAAAAAGTCCTACTGGAAATGTATAACAGGGAAAGGTGGGAAATTTCCCAGCTGGACCTGGAACTGCATCATGCCAACCTGTCCTCGCAGCACTGAGAAGCCACAGGTACAACCAAAATGCAGCTCTTCACCTCACCTGTCAATTGAGCAAGTGCAGGCATCAAACCCAAATCCAGACTCTCACACCTGCAGTAATCTCTCTCCTCTCCACACCCTTGGAAACCTCCGGGTGAGGGAAGCCAGAAGCACCCTCCCAAGCACCCCAGAAAGCCAATAGGTCTGACAAAGGATGCTCCTGAGCCGAGTAGCTCTGGTCCCACCAGTAGTGGGGTGTAGACACAGCCGGACACAAGCCCAAACACTGTGTCTGTAGCTCCTAGCCAGCTGTGATGGCCCAGAACTTCCTCCTCATCCTCTTCCCTTCACCCTGCCCATTCCCCAGAGATCAGAGGAGCTCGGGAGGCGGAGAGATTCCAGTGTCTTCTCGAAGCAGCTGCTGGGAATTGCACGTTCTGGAAAAAGGAAGGAAGTACTTCAAAGGCCCTTCCCGAGGGAGCCCTGGGGGACGGCATCGCCACCCCCACCAGAGGAAGCTGAAGGTGCGTGTCCCCCATAGCGCTTCCTCTACTCACAGTGACCCGCGGTGACCGCAGCTGCCCCGGATAGGCCAGAGACGGAACAAAGGCTTCGGTCCGGTTTGTCGCCCCCGCCCCCAGGCCGCCGCTGCCCGCACCCCGCGGCCCCGTACCTGCGCTGCTGGCG